GGGAGGCTGAGGCAGGAGAATGGCGTGAACCTGGGAGGCGGAGCTTGCAATGAGCCGAGATTGTGCCACTGCACTCCAGCCTGGGCGACAGAGTGAGACTCCGTCTCAAAAAAAAAAAAAACAAATAACTAACATTAGGCAAATTGAATTAAATCATGAACACCAAAAGCATGGCCCTTCAGGTCAGTAGATTCCGGCCAATACCAAATCATTACTTGTTGCTCAGTAAACAAAACCAAAGGTGATTAACCAATTAACCAATTTAAAATAGCACCAAACTTTTCTAAAATGGCCGAAACAGACAAAACTTTAACAGCATTTGTGTCTCAACCAAAGCTGAATTCCACTCATGTTACATTTGGTTGAAGTCCCCCTCCCCTTATCATCACATAAAGCCTGAAGCACCCATGGAATTGCGTATCTTTGGTAATCTCCCTCTGCTTCTCTGGTCCTCTCCCCCCTTCCTAAGTCATCAGCTCTCACCTTGAAGCCTGTGGGACACCAGTCTACAAACTGGATGGTCCTCTTGGTCTTGATGGCAGCAATAGCAACGTTCACATCCTTGGGCACCACATCGCCCCGGTAGAGCATGCAGCAGGCCATGTACTTGCCATGTCTCGGGTCGCACTTCACCATCTGGCTGTTGGGCTCAAAGCAGGAGCTGGTGATCTCGGCCACGGAGAGCTGTTCGTGATAGGCTTTCTCGGCAGAGATGATGGGCGCGTAGGTGACCAGCGGGAAGTGGATGCGGGGATAGGGTACCAGGTTGGTCTGGAACTCAGTGAGGTCCACATTGAGGGCCCCGTCAAAGCGGAGAGAAGCAGTGATTGAGGACACAATCTGACTGATGAGGCGGTTGAGGTTGGTATAGGTAGGGCGCTCGATGTCAAGGTTCCTGCGGCAGATGTCATAGATGGCTTCGTTGTCCACCATGAAAGCACAATCTGAATGTTCCAGCGTGGTGTGGGTGGTCAGGATGGAGTTGTAGGGCTCCACCACTGCAGTAGAGACCTGGGGGGCTGGGTAGATGGCAAACTCCAGCTTGGATTTCTTGCCATAATCCAGGGAGAGGCGTTCCATCAGCAGAGAAGTGAAGCCGGAGCCAGTGCCTCCACCAAAACTGTGGAAAATCAGGAAACCCTGCAGGCCAGAGCAAGCATCTGTCTGGGGAGAGCAGGACAGGAGAAGAAATCATGAAGACAAGTTTCTGAGAACACCCCACAGTGAAAAACGCCAGACCACCGACTCTGTCTGCCCCATCCCACCTCTCTACAGTGTTTTGTGGATGAAATCAAAACAGCTATGAAGAAGTAAGGAAACAAAAGGAGTTGTACTGATCTTTGGAGGAGTGGCTAAAATATGGGATGGGGCCAGGCACAGTGACTCAATGCCTGTCTGAGTCAGGAGGATCCATTGAGGCCAAGGATCCATTGGCCTTGGGAAGCTGAGGCAGGAGGATCCATTAAGGCCAGGAGTTCCCAACCAGCCCGGGCAACATAGTAAGATCTCACATCTACAAAAAATTGTAAAAATGAACTGGGCATGGTGGCGCACACCTGTAGTCCCAGTTACTTGGGATGCTGAGGGAGGGGGATCACTTGAGCCCAGGAGCTCACGGCTGCAGAAATCTATGATCACACCACTGTACTCTGGCCTGGATGACAGAGTAAGACTCTGTCTCTATTTTTGTTTTAATAGGATGGCAAGCTGCAGGGGCACACGCCTCTAGGTACATGAAGGTTTCAGCCCACTAGCTTGGTTGAACAGGGAATGAGAGTTTCAGAACCACAGTGGATGGTGACTTTGCCCTTTGGGGGCCCCAACTCCTTGCCCACTTTCCCTGCTATTGTCATTTGATTTTTTGGGAACTGCTACCTACATACTTCAACCTAACCTTGGAAGGTGACTCAGGGCACCAATTTCAGAAAGGTACATGGAGCCGGAAAGCCTGAGTTCTAATATCAACTTTGCCATTTCTTGGTTGTAAGAACTTGAGCAAGTTACTGAACCTCTCCAAACTTCTGTTCCTTCTTTTTTATTTTGAGACAGCGTCTCGCTCTGTTGCCAGGCTGGAGTGCAGTGGTGCAATCTTGGTTCACTGCAACCTCTGCCTTCTGGGTTCAAGCAATTCTCCTGCCTCAGCCTCCTGAGTAGCTGTGACTACAGGCGCCTGCCACCATGCCCAGCTAATTTTTTGTATTTTTAGTAGAGATGGGGTTTCACCATGTTGGCCAGGATGGTCTCCATTTCTTGACCTCGTGATCCGCCCCCCTCAGCCTTCCAAAGTGCTGGGATTACAGGCATGCGCCACTGTGCCCGGCCACTTCTCTTCCTTCTTAGTGAAAATGGGGACAATAGAAAATCCTCATAAGGTTATTGTGACAATTAAATGAAATAGCATAACATGCTGAGCAAGGACTGATGCGTTGTAGGCGCGGATGTCAGTTCTTATCAGAGAATTCACAGAATCACAGGATTTTCCCACTGGGTGTGATTTGAACTTTTGGGGACCACAGACAGCTTTGAGGCCAATGACCCTGACAAGCCCTCCTCTAAACAGAAAAAGTGAACATATGCAAAAATTTGGCACCCAGCTGGGTGCGGTGGCTCAAGCCTGTAATCCCAGCACTTTGGGAGGCCGAGACGGGCGGATCACGAGGTCAGGAGATCGAGATCATCCTGGGTAACACAGTGAAACCCTGTCTCTACTAAAAATACAAAAAATTAGCCAGGCGTGGAGGCGGGCGCCTGTAGTCCCAGCTGCTTGGGAGGCTGAGGCAGGAGAATGGCGTGAACCTGGGAGGCGGAGCTTGCAGTGAGCCGAGATCATGCCACTGCACTCCAGCCTGGGCGACGGAGCAAGACTCCGTCTCAAAAAAACAAAACAAAACAAAACAAAAAAAGCAAAATACCAAAAAACAAAAAACAAAGCGCATCGAACACCAATGCCAGCTGCCTCTCCTCCCTTCCACCTTGACCCTCAAGGTTTCCCTTTCGTTTTTCCTTTCATGCTGCAAAGTGTACCAACAGTTTAACTTAAGTCCATTTACATTAACATGTTCTAGGGACATGGAGAAAGATTCAGGATGATCTGCCCAGAACCTAGACCCTCCCAAGAGTTGTCCCACCCCTCAACTCCACCTCGTCATGGCAATAATACATGCCAGGCATTAGACATATTTTAGAATAATGTGAAGCAAAGCTATGTTCCAGGTCCTAGAGGAGCAAGAGCCCTAGAGAGGCCTTTAAGGGGTCTCTGCTCACTTCCAAGGGTCCACACAAGCAGATCAAGACACATCAGGTCCCAACTATGTCGCCTCTTCTCTTTGGGGTTCCTCTACTGCATGCAGAAAAGTCATCTGTGCAGTGGCCTGGGAGGTAACCTGCACTTTGTGCATTGGTACAAAGCATCAAGGGGGTGGAGCATCTGCCCTCTGTTGCCCCTAGACATTGGTGTTCAGGCACTATAGTTCACGCCCAGTCCTCTTTGGGAAACTGTCCATGTCTTGCTTGATGAGCGAGGCTTGAAGCTGGGGAAATCCTGATGTTCAACTGAGAGTTGGCCCAGGGGTCAGAAACGGGGGAAGTGGCACTATTGGGGGATCACGTGGGAGAGGGAGGTGGAGATCTGCCCAGACACGAGGCAGAATTCCTCTATGTTTCCTAAACCTGAAGGAACCTCATTCCAGAACTCCAGCAGCCCCTGGCTGTGAAGGAATGTGCCTGCCGTGTGTGTAAGATGCTCTGAGGTTATACCCACCCCTGAGGGCAGACTCAGAAACCTATACTTAGGGAAACTGGTCACTTAGGGGTGTCTTATAATTCCTACAATTATTTGGGTTTTCTTATCCTTAGTATTTAGTAGCGATGTGACCATTTTGGCACGGCGCCGCAGGTCTCGGGGGTTTGAGTGGGAGGCATTTTGTTCGGCATAGAGTCTTTTTTTTTTTTTTTTT